CGGACTAACAGGAAGTGCACACTCAGTGTGCACTTCCTGTTAGTCCGGCCGGGTACAGGAGACAGCTGCTCCCTGTACCCGCGGACCAGCATGCTGCAGGGCTCGGCCACGCTACAGTGAGGGAGCTGACAGGAGGGAGCGCTGAGCGCTGAGCGTGTCCCTCCTGTCAGCCTCTCCTCAGGCTGCGCCCGGGCGGTGCGGTCCGCCCTCATGGACGCACCGCCCGGGCAAAGCTGCAGCTGCCTGAGGCTCTCTACAGAGCGCTCGGGCGGCTGCAGCATGGGGGGGGTCTGGTCATGGCACCCCCCATCCTGGTGGCACCCGGGGCGGACCGCCCCCCCCCACCCCCCCCTTAGTATGCCACTGTGTATCAGAAAGATGAAGGAAAAAATATATATACTCTCTCTATATATATATATATATATAATGTGCACGGTGAATAGTACTTCCACTGTGTGTGGAACTAGATATAAATAGAAGTAACAGTGTTGCAAAGAATAATAACAATGTTGCAAATAATAGCAAAAAGGCAACAAAGTGACTGGGACTGTGTATTTGAAGCAGTCATTCAATTTGCTATAGACTGAAGTAAAGTGAAAAAAAACTGGATATAGTAAAAAAACAGTTTATTATAAACAACAATAAAAATTGATAAAATAGGTATAGAAACCAAAAAATATAGGTCAGGAACAGTACATGATAATGTTACCAGTCTTATGAAAGTGGACAGATGTTGTAAACCCTCGGACTGGCTGAGGATGGATGTGGATTGAATAATGCCAATTCGTCTCCTGAATGCAGCTGCCGGTGAGGACGGCATGTGTCTGGATGTGCGCCCCAACAAGACCTCACTCCAGGGGACGGACAGAGCAGACAATCTCGGTAGACGTATTCTCCAAGGGATCTGTATGTAAAGCAATCTTTCTGCTGGTTCAATCAATCTGTATCCTGCCTCGTTTGTCTAACGCGTTTCGTAGGTGGATCCCTACTTCATCAGAGACATGTATTGGTCCAATACTTCAGTCTATCTTTATATACAGATGTTTAAATAGCTAATACAAATCATATGAATTACTAATAAAGGTTCTTCAATCATAATACAGTCTGTATTATGATTGAAGAACCTTTATTAGTAATTCATATGATTTTTATTAGCTATTTAAACATCTGATTTTCACAAGTCAGCTCCTGGTACCCATGCACTATCCCCTAGAGTGCTCTTCTTGATAAAAATGAATGTGTTTATGTCAGATTGTGTGTGTAAGTAACTATGTCACAGTGTGTGTGTGTGTCTGAGTGTATGTGTATCTGTGTCACAGTATGTGTGTGTGTGTGTGTCTGAGTGTGTGTATCTGTGTCACAGTGTGTGTATGTCTGAGTGTTTGTCTGCGTGTCAAGGTGTGTATATGTCAGCGTGTGTATCTGTGTGTTAGTGTGTATGCATGTGTCAGTGTGTGTATCTTTTTGTTTGTGTTTGTATCTGTCAGTGTGTGTATATGTGTATCTGTGTGTTAATGTGTATGTATATTTGTGTAAGTATGTAGGTCTATATTAATGAAAAGTATTAATATGCTATCTGACTTACGGTTTCTTATGGTTTATTCTTAGTTACTGATACATAATAAAACAACAAATGATGTTACATGATCATGGATGTTCAACAGCAGATGGTAATTGCTTGACTTCTGAAGGGAGAGTTACATCGTTACATAGTTGTACAGGAAGAAGAGCCGAGAGAGAGAGAGAGATCGCGTGTGCCTTTGTTCAGTTACTATATAGATGTGCCCATACTGATATCAGACTATAACTCTAGCCATATTCCAGATTTCTCCTACAAGAAAACCTTGTGACTTATGCAATCTGCTATTAATGTCAATCTAGACATCCATACCTAATCAATAGAAACATAGAATATGCAATATTCTACAAAAACTGCTCACAAATACAACCCTGCAAGGATGGGCAAATGGCAGATCTCCAGATGGCATTGCATATTTGGATTTATACAAAAGATGGGCATCTACCTTTACGCCACTCTTGCATTAGAGGGGGGTCCAAAAAAACCTTCTTGCACCAGGACCCTCTCTACATTAGTTTCAGCACTAATTGTAATATATTTTGGTCTGCGTTATTCTCTGTCTAAGAGTTTATAAATTAGGTGTTAAATAGACACTCCAGACCCCTAAAGCACTAGCTTTAGCTTGATGAAGTGCTTTTTATGTGAAGACTCTATCTTTTTTTTTTCATTTTACAAAAAGTGCAGATTTCAATAGAAATTGACACTTTTATAAATGAAACTTGTTACACCCAGGGGCAGGCTGGGCCAAAGGGCAGCAGGGCAATCAGTGGAGCTAAACCCAAGAACCAGGCAATTGCAAAGAGCACCTTCCTTGCAAAGACTTCTCAATGAGCTGCATTCTAAAAGCCTGTGATTGGACAGCCACAGAAAGTCTGGGTGGGGTTAGAAAGAGAGGGCTTGTAAAGGCTGCAGACATGAGATCTGTAGCTTTTGAAAACTGTTATTAGTTTTACCCAAAATGAAATTTCACTGGGGGTAAATCTACTGAACAGTGATTTTTAAAATATTTATTTTGAGATAGTGGAGAGTCCCTTCATGGCAGTATGTACGATCTTTTACCATGGTATATCTTGATGTGTATATATATGAATTAATTTAACATATTTAT